TTGGATTGAAGCCATCGTTGCAGAACCACTGCAGGTGGTGATGTTTTGCCATGATCCAAGCCCTACTTCCCAGGTCACGCAAGAAGATGAGCCAGTGAAAGGCCCGACCCTTGAAGAGAACAAAGAGCGTGAAACCGATGCAGTTCCTGGAAAGAAAGCATGGAAGTGGATGGCATGGTTTTCCTCCAGAAATAGGTGGTTTTCCACTTCCATGTTAGTTCGAAGGCACGTATGCATTTGTTCCGATGAACAGGAGTTTTTGCTGCCCCTCAGGAGGCAATGCTTCAATGTTGAGTGTCAACTGCTTGGTACTCTAGAACGATATAGCTTCAATTACTGTATAAAGATTTGATTGCAACATGGCAACCTTCTGACTAGTTACTTTGGAACAAAGTCAAATTGCACAGACAACAACTAATTTCCATCAAACAATATTGTTTCTTCAAATTTCAATCAGACAGAACTGCGCAACCTTCCAATCACCAACCATTCCAATCACCCCCGAAAGAAGTCCACTTTCGTGAACCTAGTTAGACCTTGGACACCTCATGATGTCTCTATTTTCGAGGGGATCAACTCCAAATCGGTATTCCTTTTCTTCCAACACCCGCCGGTGCCGTTCGGCCGTTCATCGCTTCGCTTCGCTGCGTGGCCGCGTGCGGCGCGAGGCCTTCGAGCTTGGCTGGGCAGAGTAGGCTTGATGCACTTGAAGATGCCCATCGAAGCTTGGGCACAGGAGCTGCTCGGAGCCGGTCGGCCGGAGGAGTCGGCACGGAGGCACCTTGTTTCGATCTTTTGTTTCGGGCGCCCGGAGGAGGGGGGGTTTGATGGCTTTTGTGACATGTGGGATCTTCTTTCCTGAGATGGGACGATGTTTTTCTTTGCTGAGGTGCTTTTGTTTTTAAGTGGTTGAGACAGATCTTTTGTGTTCATGTGTGTTTCTTGTTTCACTAACCCTCCATTTTTGGCCCCACCTGTCTCTTGTGTTCCGGGCTGGACCTTAGTCTAGTCAGTCCAGTGGTTCTCGGCAAAGACCTTCTCCTTCACCAGTTTCGGTTCATGTCGTATGGCAAGGAGCAGGGAGCTGCCTTCTTGGAGGAGGTCACCACGTGACTCGAAGACGGTCAGTCAGTGGTGGCAACGTGGTGACTGACCGGACGCGCAGACCGGAGGTGGTTGGTGGGCACGGGTAAAACCCAGCAGAAGATGTCAGGGTGCCCTCTGGTGCCATTGATGTCATCGGAACGACTATCTTTCTTTCAGCTCTGGCAGGTGGCCTCGAGAAGTAGTCCGTTGATGGATTGAACATGATGGCAACTAGCTCAGAAGTCAGGTAGTTTCACCCTCCAAAGTTAGTTCAAACATTCCCCAAGCATTTTCTGAGAATCAATGCTTGTGGATCCGCAAATATAGGGAATGCTAATGACCGGCACCAGTGTTCTTAGGCCGAACAACACTTGCACTGATTGACTGGATGGCGCCTTAGGTGAACCTGGGTACCCCTAGGAATGCATTTCTCAGTCCACGAAGCCTAGGAATGCAGAGGAACTCGCCACCGCTTTGCAGCTGACTGGTGTTTCTTTGCTGCAATCATTGGTGGATCTGGTGGAATCAGCTGTCAAAGAGACCCATAGAGGTTGATTATTCCCAGGTTTGGAGATGATATGAGTTACTTGGTCGGAGAGGTTTTGGAACAGGTTCTACTATCAAGGTTGGTCTCAATAGTTCAAGATTTTGAAGGTTATCCCATGAGCCCAGATTCTTACCAAATCCTTGGTGCCCCCAAAAGCCTAGGGGTTTGAGTCACCAGACAGCTCCTTTTGAGGGTTGGACCACTGGCCAGAGAGATCCAGAGAGAAGCAGTACGAACAACCGGTTTGAACAGCCGGTGAATCGAGAACTTGAACACTTCAAAGTTACTATTCACTCTACACAGAACCGCCGACATGGGCATGTTTTCCTTATTTTTCCTTAGTGACATGAGTCCCGAGTTTGTTCTCATTGTCCACTCTATATGTCGGACTTTTGATTGAGTCGATGTATGACATCGGTGCTCGCCAACGTCTCGTTCTCGTTCTCTCCCTTCGTCTCCGAGGAGCAGTCACTACGCTTTCAGGCTCGGCTGAGAGCCTTGCCACCGCCCAAGTTCGCGGCACCGGCACAGGCCCCGGCCACTGAGGAACGGGCAGAAACCGGGCATTTTTCGCACAAGCTGCTGCTCCTGCAGTGCTTGTTATCTCGCAGGAAGGATGTGGGTTTGGGTTCGAAGATGAAGGGATCCAGGACTGTCAGCTGGTGAGAAAAAGCTCAATACACCAACGTCAACCAAGTATGTCCTTTTTGCATCCTATACCCATTAAAGCAGGATAGATCATGATAGATCCCATTTTCTTGACGTTTCCCCGATTCCCCGAACCGTGGCCCTTGCTTCTCTCCGGTCCTCGGTCGGCCGGTCACCACGCCAACAATGTGGCAGGCGCCCAAAGTCCGCAAGAAGCTGCCAGTGGCAGCAGCACCTTGCCCCTGCTGCAACAAGGAAGATCGGATGCTTTGGAACGTTTCTTGGAAGAATGAGGGAAGAGACCTGGCTGTGCGTATTTGCAGGGTCATGGGGCTTCAGGTTTTGACCCATCCCTATGGGGTGAAGAGATGGAAAGATCGAGGTATAATACAAATGAATTCGCATTGCGGCGGCGATGGGGATCCAATCGAAGGCAGAGTTTGGGGATGAAAATGGGCATGAGACCGACAACTTGACCCTGTGGAACCCCCGCACAGTTGTCATTAGCAGAGATAGACTACGTAAAGAGCCTGGCTCTTCTGCAGAAGTGCCCGTTCAATGATAGTTACCGTGCACATTCTTCGAACCCCAACCTCTCTTGGCAGCGGTGTCCCATTGTTCTTCAAGAAAGGACGTCATTTGTCGTACACCTCAGACCATATCCGTGGTTGACTGGGGACCACGTTCCAGTGGGTGATTCAACTGTACATTCCTCAGGGCACCAAGACCACTATGAAATGCCTAGAGCTCGGCCAGCTGGGCGTTGAAGTTGTGTTGGGGCATGTTGGGGCCTTGGAAGAGATGCATCTCGCATTAATATGGATGTATATTTCTAATCACCACTGCTCGCTGGTATCACTCATCCACAAACAAACACGAATACCGTACCTGGACCCCCTTCTCACCCATTGGTGTGCATCCCTCTCTTCTGCTTTACCCCGAAGCGAACGGAACGGATCCAGGTGACCATCGCCTCGCAGCACGAAGGCTGGGGTCGGAAGTGGAACGTCCGGATCGCCCAGGGGGGACCCGGTCCTGAATGGGTGGAGGACCACGGGTGGATGGATCGGGTGGATCATCTAGGAAAAACTACCAGCCTGACTGCTAAAGGATGAAAAAGTGATCTGGGAGTAGAAGATCCAATAGGTCCATATAGATCCATAGGTCCGTAACACAGCCTTAGATCCATATATCCATAACCAGCCATGATTTGTTGCTCCAGCCGGTCTGCTGGTCCGAGGAATGTGCCTATGCTTGTCAGCTCTGCCGCCGGCACATTAGCCGTCAGCTCCACGTGTCGCTTGGCTGGGCAACAGCAGAGCTCCACGCATTTTTGCTGCGCTCGTTGGCCATGGAAAGCAATGCAAATGAAGACGAATTCAAGGTGTCAGGTTGAGCAGTGTCTTCAGAGCAACACTATGCCTCAAGGGAGCCTGGCCAAAAACATGAAAACGCGGAAACGGCTGGTCACATGCATTTTTGGCAGCTCAAACGTCGACTCGGCCCTATCCACGCATGATCTCCATTCTTTTGCGTCCACAGTGGAAAACCGGGCTGCGAGATCGTAGAAGCAAGAGTCTTGAGAACAAGTAGAACAACAGAAGCCGCTGGGACTTTATGCGGGACATTCCTTCTGCCCGAGGAATGCCTGCAGGGACTGCAAAGTCATGTGGCATCCTGATTGCGAGCAGGCCCAGAGATGAACATGGCCGCGTACTGGTAGACTTGGATAGATGGCGGATATATCCTGAGGATGAGAAACCTACATGCAGTACGTAGTGGTTTGTGCAGTCATCCAACGGAGGTCAAAGCCAAACCGTTGACTCCAGCAAGTGTCGTCATCCTGGAATGCACATGACGATCTAGGGACAATCCATAAACCATCATAAACCTCTGTAAGAATGGTGACATGCTCAAAAAGTACCACAATGTTCTTCTCAAGTGGCCATAGAACGGGTTTCCTCATAACCTCCTATTCAATATCTAGTGAATCTAGTGTAGAATCTAGTGAATGCAGAGCTACCTGAATTTCGCCAAAGAAACCTGGATAGTATAATATGCACAGCGTGTGATTCTCCCGCAAGCTCCCGACACTTCAAAAAGGCTCCCTTTCCCAGGCTCCTGATCCAGGTTCTTGCCAAACATATATTTGGTCATATTTGGTCCAACTATATACAGCAGCCTTTGCTATTATGGCCCTTCTACGTGCGTGCGGTTTGTAAAGCTTGAATGTAGAGTGGAGTGGTTGCTCCGGTCCTTGGGCGCAGGCCTTGGCGAAAGATCAGGCGTGCGTGGCGATGGATGCCGAGTCAGAGAGTACACCCAATTCCAGTGAACATGACTGAGACCCAAATCTGCAGAGACTTTGTTGGTGCCGTCTCCGTCTCCTCTGAAGAGCATTTGAAAAGTCCAAACCAGACTTCAAAGGAATACAATCGAAAGAGAGAAGGCACTGTCTGCATGAAGGTTTAACGACTTGTTGTGTCTCATCCCAAACCATCAGAAACTTGGGGTACTTTCAGTACCACTGCTTTTGCAATCTTTTGCCCACTTGGCTTTTTTTGCGTTTTGTGTAATGTTCCGTTCCAAAATCCATGCTGCTTGGTCGTTTCTAATCTATAATATTTCTTTGTCAAACTAGATTTTAGGTGAAACAGATCCAAGGGTCTACGCTATCTATACACACGCACGATACAGTAAGTAATAAAAGCTTCTCCCAATGGCGTTGCCGGCGGAAGTGCTGCCAAAGCTGCTCGCCTTCACGCCGAACGACCTGCTATGCCTGTCGTCCTTGCGGGCGGTCAACCGAGATGCCAAAGAGCAGCTCGAAGATCGATGGTGGAAAGAAGAGGTGAGGATTTGTCAAAGCATTTGTACCACCGGTCCATATCATATGAACTCTTTCATGACTTTGATGCTTGTGTAGTTTTCTAATCATCTTAAACCCTTTTTTGTGGGTCCAGCTATGTCTTCCCGGTCGGCAGTTGTGCGAAGTTTGGAATGATCGTGCGGGAAACAACTATTTGTCAAAAGAATTCTGAAGCAGAAAAACAAATGCCAGGAGTTTGTAGCTGTAGGCCAAGAAAGGGTTTGTCAAGGGAACACGCCAAAAAAGCATCCAAGGTCCAAAGTCCTCCTTTCTGCTTTCAGTCTCATCCACCAGGTGCAATGTATGAAAGCCTTTGTGGATGACCATGGCTTCCTATTCGCTGATGATCCAGTGCCAGGTGTTGAAATGCAGCAAGAAGCATTTGCTCGGAATATTTTGCTCTGGGTCAAGCCCCTCCTGGTCAACCAGCCGTGGAGAGCTCAAGAATCCGATTGTGCTACAGAGGCTACAGATGTGATCAGTCTCCGGGCCGCCCACATCAATTTGAGAAGAGCAATGGCAAACTTGGGCCACCCTGAGTTGCATTCGAACATGTTTTTTTGGTGCTTGTAATTCATGAAGATCGGAGGACGGTCTTTCCTCCTTTCAAGTGGTTTGTGCTTGAAACACATCTGTATTGAGAAGTTTGTCGGTCTTGACAAGTTGCATTCATGTTATTTGAAGACTACAGATGGATTTTGCATGTAGCAGGAACGGTGATAAACAGTATCCAGTTGAATCATGCATGCTGCATGCTGTATAAAGCAACCTGTCTATTCATCCCTGGCCTATCTGGTGGTTCAGGATTCCGACGGGACTCAGATGAAAAACCATTCCGTTCGGTAGAGTTTTCCAAAGAAACGGGACGTCCTTGGATTGGCAAGTTTGTAGGCAGCGATCTATTGAGTTCTTAAGAGGATTATGAAGAAAGGAAGGAGGCTCCATCAGCTCCTCCGGCTGTTCAGTGATTGTACTCTCCAAAAGGACAAGAGTCACTCAAAGATCCTTGCAAACGTGGTGAAAGGGCCTGTTCATTTGTTAACCAGTAGATTGAAGCTAGATTTCGGGTTCCACATCAAGAAAGTCCCCATTCAGGATTTTGGTGTTCTTTAAGCACTTTCCCGCAATTACGGAGCCAAATTCCCAGGTCGGAGGCGGAATGAAGTGCTCCGAGACATTTGCCAACAAGCACGCTACATAGAGGGCCACCATTTGAAACACAGGCGCACTGAGCATACCATAGTTTCACAGGACGGCATCAACCTTGAGACAAGCGAGATGAGAAGCGAAGATGCCATGTCGTCATCCTTGGCCCATACGGAAATGACCAGAGAGGCCTATGCCTGGGCAGAGCTGATGAATGTATTCATCAAGCAAGGGATTTCTGATGGGAAGGCACAGGACATGATTGGACGCATGCGACAGCTGGGGTTTATCGTGGATAAGTCCAGTTTAGATCTATCAGACGGCATGTCTGAGGTCGACGAGGCACCAAACTTGTCAGATGTTGAGGAAAAGCAACAAGAAGACTATGCACTGCATTTGGCAGCTCTGAATGGCCAACAGGATCTTGCAGAAATCTTGGTCAAGAGAGGGGCTGACAAGGAATCCAAAACACCAGCTGGTGAGACTGCACTGCATTTGGCAGTTCAGAATGGCCATGAGGGTGTGGTAGCTCTTTTGGTCCACAGTGGGGCTGACACGGAAGCCAAAACAGCAGCTGGTAAGACGGCACTGCATTTGGCAGCTCAGAAAGGTCACCGGAATGTAGTAAATTGTCTTCTCGAGCAATGTGCTGAAATTGAAGCCAAAACATCAGCTGGTGAGACTGCACTGCATTTGGCAGCTGAGAGAGGTTGGCGACATATGGTTTTACTTTTGATTTGGATGGGGGCTGACGACGAAGCCAAAACAGCAGCTGGTGAGACTGCACTGCATTTGGCAGCTCGGAATGGCCACGAGGATGTGGTAGAGTTCTTGTTCGAGGAAGGGGCTGACAAGGAAGCCAGAACAGCGGCTGGTGAGATGACGGCATTGCATTTGGCAGCTGAGGAAGGCCACCGGGATCTTGTAAAAGTTTTGGTCAAGAAACGGGCTGACAAGGAAGCCAAAACAGCAGCTGGTGAGACTGCACTGCATTTGGCAGCTCGGAACGGCCACGAGGGTGTGGTACTACATTTGGTCCTAGCCAGGGCTGACAAGGAAGCCAAAACAGCAGCTGGTGAGACGGCACTGCATTTGGCAGCTGCGGGAGGCCAGCAGGGTTTGGTTTCGCTTTTGACTTCGGCGGGGGCTGACAAGGAAGCCGCAACAGCAGCTGGTGAGACGGCACTGCATTTGGCAGCTGAGGGAGGCCAGCAGGGTGTGGTTTCACTTTTGATTTCGGCGGGGGCTGACAAGGAAGCCACAACAGCAGGTGGTGAGACGGCACTGCATTTGGCGGCTCTGAACGGCGACGTGGGTGTGGTAGAATTTTTGGTTGAGCAAGGGGCTGACAAGGAAGCCAAAACAGCAGGTGGTAAGATGGCACTGCATTTGGCAGCTCAGAAAGGTCACCGGAATATGGTAAGGTTTTTGCTCAAGGCAGGGGCTGATATGGAAGCCAAAACAGCAGCTGATGAGACTGCACTGCATTTGGCAGTTCAGAATCGCCTCTGGGGTATGGTAAAGTTCTTGGTCGAGGAAGGGGCTGATAAGGAAGCTGCAACAGCAGCTGGTGAGACGGCGCTGCATTTGGCAGCTCAGAATGGCCACTTTGGTGCGGTAGGATTTTTGGTCGAGCAAGGGGCTGACAAGGAAGCCAAAACATCAGCTCGTGAGACGGCGCTGCATTTGGCAGCTGAGAGGGGTTGGGGACGTGTGGTTTTACTTTTGATTTGGGTGGGGGCTGACAAGGAAGCCGCAACAGGAGCTGGTGAGACGGCACTGCATTTGGCAGCTCAGAATGGCCACCGGGATGTGGTAGAATTTTTGGTCGAGCACAGGGCTAACAAGGAATTTGCAACAGCAGCTGGTAAGGTAGCATTGGATTCATTATACTTTCATCTACGCGGCGATGCATTTGGCAGCTCAGGATGGCCACCCGGATGCGGTAGCATTTGGGGTGGCGGAGGAGGAACACCTCAGATTTTCGACGTGGTATTGCGACTTTTGCTCCGCGAGCAACGCAAGGAACTGCAACGACAAGAGCCGATGAGTGCGGACTGATCGGGTGCTTGGGGTGTTTGATTGGTCAGTGGTGTTTGCAAAGGTGTCAACAAAGTCGATTTGCTGCCTTTAGTTTGCCGACATTGACAATGGCTGCCTATATTAGATCCTTAGGTTGAAGGAGGCTGAATATATTAGATCGTTGGCTTTTTTCGGCTTGAAGGGAGCAACCCGCCTTCCAGCCAATCGTAGTTCAGGGCTGAGCAAGTAACACACAATCCAGCGTTGCAGCTCATTGCTTTGTCCAGGCGGCCAAGCAGAGGGTTCCAGCCCGAGCAGCACCGGCACCAAAGGCACGGACGCTCATCGAGTGGGGGGTGACGCATCCAAAGGCGAAGCGATGGGCCACCAGAAGCACCACTGGAAAGGTGCACGTCTTTGAAGGCAATTAAGTTAAACAAACATCAATAGGTTTTCTCACACTCATGGCCTTCGGAGGCAAACCGCAGAAAAACATTGGGTTTGGGCTGTAAGAGGTACATTGCTGGAAACCTGTTCAACAAGAGAGGGTGACCCACCAAATCCAGGTCCCCGGCTCGATCCCGGGTCTCGGCAATCTTTTGAAATGGTCCATGCCCAACTTGGCGCAATGCTGCCGCCGTGCCACGCAAGGCGCGACCCACAAAATCGACGTAGTTCGTGCAATTGGCATGGGGTTGAAGGGCCTTGCGGATGGGAGCTTGGAACAGAAGAAACATGCAACCATTGACACAAAGCCAGCACTTACATAGCACTCAATGGCTCAGAATTTGGCTCTGGATGCCTGAAACCCTTTGTGAAAACGTAAATGCATGTTGGACGATGTCGTTTGTGGAAGGTTTTGCTTTGGTCTTTGCTACAGAGTTGCTCCCCCTGCGACTGTGTTTATTTTCCTCGACGGAGGAGACCTGGAGGAGAATGATGTGGATAACGAGACATCACAGACGGAGGATTTTGTAAGGTTTTACGTGCTTTTCCTGTTTCTCCAGAGCGCCCCCTTCACTTTTCAATCTATTTGATTATTTGGTTGTCCTACTACCCTATCAACCCATCAACCCAACCCACCTCATTTCCATTCATTTCGGATACTGGACCTCTCCGAGGTGAAAGTGCGACGCAACGGGCCACCACCTGCGGCGAAGGTCGTCGCACAGGCTGCACCCTCGGCGCACGACGTCGCAGTTCCGCGTTCCACCAGTGCGAAGGAGTTCTCCTACAATAAGGCCATTCTTGTTTGCCCCGCGAAGAGATTTGTGGGTGCAACAGAGACATGATTGACACCAGTCTGTTTCGCGCAGCTTTACTTGATTGATGTTGTTGTGGTCATTGATGCAAAGGCAAAAGAGCACCTTGAGTCCACCCTCTTTAAACATTGAGCAGATCTACAGGAACTATCGACTGTCAGAAAGAGCCTGCATGCAACGTGAGTTGTCTCCTACCCATGTCCAGCATACAAAAACAGACCAGAGACACACCAACACAACTTGTCAGTGTCAGTGTCCTTAGGTTTTATAGACTCCCATACATAGTGACTTGTAGCAAAGATTCGCAGATGTAACTTCAAGCTCAGTTGGTCTTCAGCACTCTTGCAGCTTGCCAGGTTCCTCAAGTACGCCTGCTGCGCACCGGCACTGTGCCAACTCCTCCAGCGGTTGTTGTTGCTCCAGGCGCCATGGTCAGGCATTAATGGGTCTGCAGACTGTACAGGATCAATGTACACTGCCTCCCATAAACCGAATAGCACTGACATGCACGGACCCTGAAAAGTACTTGCTTCTTAGTAGTTGTAAAGGAAAGCATCCCTTTTGACTTTTTTGACTCATTTGGATAGCGATTTTGGCCACTGGGTGGATCCCCTTGGCCCTTGAACTATGAATTGGGGGGTCATTTCCTTGTGGGGAGCACCTGTAGTTCACAACGCTGGCGGCTACGGTCTCAGACAGCGAGAAAGTCCAAAAAAGGAGCATATGTAGAGTGTACAGGTCACCTGGACTGTCACCTGGTAAAGCACCTCTAGGGTCCGAAATAGAGTGAACATGAGACATGGTCTGCGATATCAAAGACAGCTGCTCCTTTACCTACCTGCTCCATATGAACCTCAAACTCAGGGATCCCGAAACTGAAATCAGTAACGCTGCAGGAGTCCCATCGGTGAGCCTTTTGGACCGCCACAGCTCCACGCCGCACACGGTGGAAGAGCGACTGGTCCGAAGTTTCTTGAGACTCGACCTGGGCGGCAAACGACATGGACATGCAAGGGGTCATCATTGGTCGCATGTTGACCTATGGGCCGTTCAGAGATTTCCAAAGGTTTCCTCAAAGGTCCAGGAAGAGTCAGTCATATATGTTACAAGATGATAAATAAGTTACAATCTACCTTCCAAGAAAGCTTTTGAAGTGTTTGATCGGCCAATAGGTCAACATTCGACCGATGATGACCCCTAGTTACATGTTACAAATAAATGTGACACGTTACAATCTGCCTTTTGGATCCTTTTGATTGGAGCGCCTAGGTGTTGACAGCCATACAGTTCATGGAAGATGGGATACAGGCCCTCGGAAATCGTAATACCTTTTGAGATGAATATAGGGAATTTGGTAGGGCCGGAGGTGATCTTGTAATGGAGAATCGTCAACCCAAGCTGCTTCATGCAGCGACTGGCGGTCATGTGTAATTACCAGCTATGGATTTGAAGACTGGTTGAAAACAAGCAGCTTGTCTGAAGATGGCAAGCAGATGATTTGCCTGACTAGACTAACACCAGCTGAAAAGGGTTCAACATGGTTCAAGGCGTCTCTGTTTGCGATGCCCCAAACATCCCAAAACCATGCGTTTGATGCACAGCATCAAAGGGAGGAGCCATTCGGTCCGGTCTTTTCGGGCACACCGTATGGGGCCCGCAAGCTGGCCGAAACCGACCCTATCTTCGGTCCGCTGGGACGAAGACCTTCTTTGATCCAGTGGTTCTTGACTCTTGATCTCGTCTGCACTAGGATGAAGAACGCGTCCTTTCACGTGCAGAAAGCCTACGTCCCCCTCCAGGCGCGACCAAAGAAGATGCGAGTGGCTAGAGACGGAGGCCACAGTTACAACTTGATAATGGTTGGAATGGTTACTGATCTTCAGACTGCGTTAGCAGTCGGCGGAGAGGACGTTTACAGAAGTTGAACAAGGTCCAACGGGCTTCCACATTTTGGCCATAGTTAGTGACTCTATATACACTCCAAACTCCTTCATGACAGCTGAATGGCAGGCATGGAATTTCTCCAACCTCAAGCTGAAGCAGAAGACTCCTGATACAACCGCGAAGGTCCAGCACCTGGGACTGCACTGGCCTATTCACACCAAGGAATGACAGTTTCATACAGTCTTAGGCTGGCTATCCATTGAGGAGAGGGCCAGGCCAAGTGATTGGCCTATTTGTCACATACCCCGCTGAAAACTCACATGGACCCTGAAATCCACTGGTTTGTAAGGGAAAACAGTCCGACTCAGGGGTGCCAAAACGGACCCATTCTGAGTGTATTTTCTCGCCAATGCCACCGGTTCTTGTTTCGGACCCATTGAGGGAAGGGCCATACCTCCTGGCGTAGATGCGTTGGAGGGATATGGAGGGATCAGTGCACAGGATTTCAGATGATTTTTCAATTGCTCGTTACCAAAAGGATCAGTGCACCATATTTTCTACAATATTCCCCGCAAAAGGTGGCTGATGGCAGATGCTTTGAGACAATCTCTGGAGCCCGACCGCTGGGGAGCTGAGGAGTGAGGCGCTCACACCCAACGAGGCTTGGTGGGACCCATGGGGCTTCAGGATGAACAGGCACTGAGACTATAAGACTTAGAGGACTTGATTGATGGTGACACTATAATGTGAAAGAATTCACCATAATTATTTGATTCCTTTAGTTGAAGAATCAAGGTCGCCTCACCGAGTTTTGGCCTAAAAAGTTCTCAGCGAAGTGAACTTTGGAAACTGTTCGTGGGCAAAATGATGGTTGGAAAATGAACTTGTGGTACAGGCAAAAGACAAAGCCCTCAGTTGTCGTTCGAGATTTTCTCCCAACACCAGCGAAGTCTGTTGGTTGGCAACTTCAGCATGTTATGGGGAAATCTCACTCTCCCTAAGTGTTTGTGGGATGACTAAGGAATGATTTGGTCAGGTTTTTGTATGGAGGCTACTTTGCGGTACTTTGACTAGTTGCCAGTAAACTTGAGCCGACAAAGTCACTTCCCTGTTACTGAGCTGAATCTTGGTGTGAGTCAAAACCAGATGTTTGGGTGGGGGGGGGAAATCACAGTACACCCACTCTTGGAAGGCTTTCACTCTTGGCATAGTCCGTGTATCCTGAATCCTCCAAGGCACCACAATGCAAATGTTCACACCATGTGTAAAAACACTTCTCGTCAACTCTCTTTGGGCCGACATCTTCCCTGCCTACTGGCCTACAGAATCGAACACTCGGTCACGAGCCGTGCAAGGTCTTGATCGAGGAGGTGGAGCCCTTGCCGGGTGGGGTGGATCGGAGGATCATCTTGGAGCGCCAGGGGAAGTTCGGGAGTCCCAGAAAGCTCGGTGGAGCAGGGAGCTTGAAGGATTTGGGATGGGTTGGATGGGATGGTTTTGGATGCGAACTTCCTGATGACGAGCAAATGGTATATCAAAATCAAAAATCATAAATCGATCAATAGGTTTACCCAGATGTTCTCATGGAAGCTAAGCCTTCTAAGCAACACCCTCTGTAGAGTCAACGAGTTGTGTTCCAGGTCTTCTACTTCCCCACCGTTGGGGGCAGCGTTTCCTTTTCTCCTTTCCCATTAACAACAAGTTGGAGAACAAACACATCACCCAACTGTTTGGATGGTGGACTTTTCCGGACACCTTCCCAACCAAACACCTCCCAACCGACACCTCGAACTGCCGAGGCTCCGCCAGAGCCGAAGCTACGGCGGCTACGTGGATCCGGAGCGAACGGGCGTTCGAACCGGGAACGTGGGGAGAGGTGGAAGCTGACGGATC